ACTACGCTCTTCCAATTGTGCTGTTATTCTCACTTAAGATGAAGGCTTACAGAACAAAATAGTTTCTCATTTAACAGTTACTACAAATATTGCCCTATGACAATGGTTAACAAAGATTGTTTCTTTTTGTGTGTAAATCTTTTCATGAGTTTTTACAGTAGTGGTCTCATAATTTGTCCTTTTGTGATTGAATTATTTCACTCAGCATAATGCCCTCCAGATTCAGCCATGTTATGATATGCTTTGCAGATTCATCATTGTTCTTTATCGTTGTGTAATACTCCATTGTGTGTATGTACCATAGTTTGTTTATCCACTCATCTGTTGATGGGCATCTAGGTTGTTTCCATCTTTTTGCTATTATGAACAATGCTGCAATGAACATGGGCGTGCATATGTCTATTCGTGTGACGGCTCTTATTTCTCTAGGATATATTCCTAGGAATGGGATTGCTGGATGATATGGTATTTCTATTTCTACATTTCAGAAATGTAATTCTGTCTACAAGAATCATTGGAAAATTCTGCAATAATATCCTGCCTCTGAATGTGAATTTCATTGTTTTTATTCAGCTGAGGAAAAGTATTTTGTAATAATTTACTATAAAAGCAATACATATGCATTATAGAAAATTAGAAAATAAAGGCAAGCCAAAAGAATATAAAGAATTCTCGTAATCCCAACCACCCAACACTGTTAACTAACAGCTTGGTATAGATCCTTCAAGATCTTTTTCTACTGAATTGTTCATTTTCATTTTTATTTAAACAAAATAAACATTCATTGATTCATTGACTATCTAAAAACTAGGCCAGGCCTTGTGAGAACACAGTATGTACAAGGTACTTGCCCTCAAAGAACTTAAAAACCCCTTCAGGACATGATAAAAATCATGATAATCACAGCTTGCACTTACATCGCAGTTACTATGGACCAAGAATTATTCTAAGTGCTTTACATATATTAACTCATTCAATCCTCACAAACACCCATGAGATAGTTAAATGTTACTATCCCTTTTTATAGATGAGAAAACAGAGCACGGAGAGGTAAGGTAATTTGCCTAAGGTCACACAGCTAGTAAGTGGCAGGGCTGAGATTTAAACTCAGGCAGTCTGGTTCTGGATGGAGTCCATGCTGTTAACTCACTCTGCTATACTAACTCTCAACCTCTCAAAGAGAGAGCACTATGCAAGATTTATAGCTCAGGCAGTAAAAGGAAAGGGGCATTGAGTATTGCATCATTACAGCCAAACACATGGAACAGATAATAGGTTTTATAGAAAGCTCAAGGTCAAAGATGTCACTTTGGGCTGGGAAAGAGAGAAAAGTCTTTGGATCTCAAAAGACTGTAGATTTTAAACAAGAGGGAAAACCATTGGCAACTGCGTGGAGGCTTCCAAGCACAAGGTATGTTCATGAAACAGTGAATAAACCACCCTGGCTGAGGACAGGGGCGGAAAGTGGGCTGCACCACTGAATTCACATACAATGTTCTGTTCACATCTATTCCACAATTTTAAAAATTGTAAAATTATTTCCTATTTCTGAAGAGAAATTATATAAAATATTGGTTGTGATTTGAATTATTAAGAAGCTTAAGCTCCAAAGAAAATATCTTATTTGAAGATTCTGTCTCATGTGGGTTTCATCAGTTATTAAACCAGTGAAGTCATAAGGAGACTAAAGGAGTTGGATTAGTGTCATACTGAGGTAAATACAGCAATACTTCATTTGTCTTACAACAGTGAGGTCCATTAAATACTCAACTAAGAAAAACTTGCTCCTTAAAGATCTTAAAAATCTTCTACAATTATATCTAAAATATGTCATTCTTAATTTCATTGAATTCACAGAATATTACATAACTATTATCTTGATGACTTGGCACATCATTGAAAACATAATTACTTACTCTGCTCTGAGGCAGCGATGCCTTCTTGGAACACTAGGAATGAATGTGGTTTTCCCTCATACTAAATGGCCTCAGGCTACTGTGCTCTTAGTTTCTTTGATTTTTTTTTTAAATGGCCTTTCTGCTACTTTCCTTTTTTCCAAATCTGTCAGAGAGCCTACAGTGAAAAGCCTCTCTCCTAGTTTAAGGTGTAGGAGAAAGACATGGCAATCTGCTTCCATAAAGATTACAGCTAAGAAAACCCTATGGTGCAGTTCTAGTCTGTCACATGGGGTCGCTATGAGTTGGAATCACTCAGCAGCACCCAGCAACAACACGCGCTGCAATGGTTTGAAGACCAGATAATCAAGATGGTTAGAACTTCTGCAAAATAAGAGTAAATATTATGTGAATGACAGTCCAATTATTCCTATTTTGGAAATAAGGGTGTGTGCCAAAGTATATAATAGAGGCCTGGTGGTGCAGTGGTTAAGTGCTCGGCTGCTAACCAAAAGGTTGGCAGTTCAAACCCACCAACCGCTCCATGGAAGAAAGGTGTGGCTGTATGCTTCCATAAAGATTTATAGCCCTGACACACAGAAAAAACAGTATTCTTTGATGGTTACAAGGGTGGGGAGGGCAGAAGGGGGGAAATTACTAACTCGATAGTAGACAAGTGTCAACTTTGGTGAAGGGAAGGGCAATACACAATATAGAGGAAGTCAACACAACTGGACCAAAGCAAAAGCATAGACGTTTCCTAGACACATTCAAACACTTTGAGGGACCGAGTAGCTGGGGCTGGGGCCTGGCGACCATAGTCTCGGGGGATGTCTAAGTCAATTGGCGTAACATAGTTCATAAAGAAAATGTTCTACATCGTACTTTGGTGAGTAGCATCTGGTCTTAAAAGCTTGCAAGTAGCCATCTAAGATACATCTATTGGTCCCAGCAAAGGAGAATATAGAAACTCAAAGACACAAGGAACAGATCAGCCCAAAGGACTAAAGGACAACATGAACGAGAGACTCCACCAGCCTGAGCCCAGACAAACTAGATGGTGCCTGGCTACCACCAACGACTGCTCTGACAGGGATCACAAGAGACAGTCCTGGACAGAGTGGGAGAAAAATGTAGAAGAAAACTCAAATTCATGAAAAAAGACCAGACTTACTGGTCTCAGAGGAATATCCAAAACTATGGCCCCTGAACACTCTGCTAACCCAGGACTGAAACCATTCCCGAAGAAAAAGACTAAACAGGCCTATAAAACAAAAAATAACACATGCGAGGAACGTGCTTCTTAGTTCAATCAAATATACGAGACCAAATGGGCAACTCCTGTCCAAAAGCAAGACGTGAAGGCAGGAGGGACAGGAACTGGACAAATGGTCACAGGGAACCTGGGGTGAAAAGGGGGAGCATGCTGCCACATTGTGGGGACTGCAACCAATGTCACAAAACAATAGGTGTATAAATTTTTTAAGGAGAAATTAACTTGAGCTGTAAACTTTCACCTAAAGCACAATAAAAAAATAAAATAAAATAAAATAAAAGATGTATAGCCTTGGAAACCCCATGGAGCAGTTCTACTCTGTCCTTTAGGGAGTTTGAAACAACTATCAGTCTGCTCACAGGCAGCATAGTAGAGTGGTTAAAAATATGAACTTTGGAACCAGAATAGGATTCAAACGCTGGCCCTTTATTAGCTATGTGATCTTGGGCTGGTTATTTAATTCTCTGTCTCCCAGTTTCCTCATCAATGAAAAAAGGAATAATAAATAGCATCTACCTAACACGGTTGTTATGAGGATTAAATAAGTTACTATTTGCGAAGTACTTAGAATAGTGCCTGGAAAAGAGTAAGGCCTCTATACGTGTTTGATAAGTTAACAGTACCAACAAAAATAACGTTCCCACTGCCTATGTTCAAAGGTTAATTGGATTAACCTTTGTTACCTAAGTTACAGAAAGCAGAAATTCCTGCTATACTTTCTAACTTAAAATGTTCCCAGCCCTGATACATGTCATAAATAGAATACAAACCATAACTAACAATGCACAAATACCAGAAGATAAACTAGGTAACTGGAGCTCCTAAAAACAAAACATATGCTCATCAAAAGATTTCACCAGAAGAGTAAAAAGAGAACCTACAGACCGGGAAAAAATTTTTGGCTATGACGTATCTGACAAGGGTCTAATCTCTAAAATCTATAAAATACTCCAACATATCAACAACAAAAAGATAAATAATCCAATTAAAAATAGGTATTTTTTAGGATATGAACAGGCACTTCACCAAAGAAGACATTCAGGTGGCTAACAGACACACGAGGAAACGCCTGTGGCCACTAGCCATTAGAAATATGTAAATCAAATCTACAATCAGATACCATCTCAACTCAACATTAAAAAAAAACAAAAAACAAAATAATAAATGTTGGAGAGGTTGCGGGGAAACTGGAACTCTTATGCACTGCTCGAGGGAATGTAAAATGATACGCCCACTATGGTAAACTATATGGTGCCTCCTCAAAAGGCTAGAAATACACATATCGTACAACCCAGCAATCCCACTCCTAGGAATATATCCTAGGGAAATAAGAGCTGTCACACAAATAGACATATGCACACCTATGTTCACTGCAGCATTACTCACAACAGCAAGAAGATGGAAAAAACCTAAGTGTCCATCAACAGATGAATGGATAAAAAAATTATGGTACATACACACACACAATGGAATACTATCCAACGATAAAGAACAATGATGAATCCGCAAAACACCTCACAACCTGGATGAATCTGGAGGGCATTATGCTGAGTGAAATAAGTCAATCACAAAAGGACAAATATTGTATGAGACCTCTATTATAAAGAAAAGTTTTACACAAAGAAAAAACCAATCTTTGATGGTTACAAGGAGTGGGGAGGGGAACTCCACTAACTAGATAGTACACAAGTGTTAACTCTGGTGAAGGGAAAGACAACACACAATATGGAAGAAGTCACCACAATTTGACCAAGGCAAAGTCACAGAAGCTTCCTAGACACTTCCAAACACCTTGAGTGACTAAGTCACTGGGGCTGAGGGCTGGGGACCATGGTCTCAGGGGATATTTACATCAATTAGCACACATAGTTCATAGAGAAAATGTTCTACATCCTACTCTGGCGAGTAGCATCTGTGGTCTTAAAAGCTTGCAAGCGGCCATCTAAGATACATCTATTCGTTCCATCCCAACCGGACAAAAGGAGAATGAAGAAAACCAAAGACATAAGGAAAATATTAGTCCAAAGTACTAACGGACCACATGAACCACAGCCTCCACCAGCCTGAGCCTAGAAGAACTCGATGGTGCCCGGCTACCACCACCAACTGCTCTGACAGGTCGCAATAGAGGGTTCTGGACAGAGTGCGAGAAAAATGTAGAATAAAATTAAAATTCACAAAAAAAGACTAGACTTACTGGTCTGACAGAGACTGGAGGAACTGCTGAGACTACGGTCCCTGGACATCCTGCTAACTCAGAACTAAAGCCACTCCCAAAGTCCACCTTTCAGCCAAAGATTAGACAAAGTGGTGCAGCAATTAAGAGCTACAGCTCTTAACCAAAAGGGCAGGAATTCGGATCCACCAGACACTCCTTGGAAACCCCATGGGGCAGTTCTACCCTGTCTTAAAAGATTGCTATGAGCTGGAATTGACTCGACAGCAATGGGTTCGGTTTTGGGTTATAAAACAAACAATAACACGTGTATAGATGAATCAAGTATACAAGACCAAACTGGCAACACCTGCCCAAAAGCAAAGATGAAAAGGCACGAAGGGACAGGAAAATGGATAAATGGACACGGGGAGCCCAGAGTGTAAAGAGAAAGGGAGAGAATGCTGACACATTGCAGGGATAGCAACCAACGTCACAAAACAATTTGTGTATAAATTTTTGAATGAGAAATTAACTTGCGCTGCAAACTTTCACCTAAAGCACAATAAAATTAAAAAAAAAAAAGTTCCCAAAGTACATATACCTTTGATATGGCAATTCCACCCCTAGGAATATACTGCACAGGGTTAAAAAAAAAAAAAAAGCACTGGTACACAAGGACATAGGTACAAGATTATTTACTGCAACACTCTTCACAGTGGTCAGGAATTGGAAGTAAACTGAGTACCCAAAAGGACTATTATGCAGACACCAAAAAGAATGACCGGGAGAGATCTTCATGAAGTGTGTCAAGAGAGAAAAATCAAGATGCAGAAAAGCATGTATAATATGATCCCACTTTTGTAAAAGAAACAACATTTGAACTTATCTATATGTTATATGTGTGTGGTCATATGGGTATGAATGGCATGGAGAAAAATATGGAAGCCCAAATACTAGAATGTTAACATGACTTACTTCAAGGGGCAGGGGTCGGGTAACAGGATGTGGAAGTGTGGGGTAGAAGGTCTGGGGGAAAAGGAATCCATGATAAAAACAGCAATATGATATGATTCATGCATATAAAACTACACACCCACATACATGCGTGTATTTGTGCATATGTGTATATGCAAAAGAGATCCATGAAATGGTCATCACGAAAATGGCAAATGTGAGCATCTTAGTGTGGCGGGATTCCAGACGACCTTCACTTTCTTTATATTTTTAGGTATGTTCATACATGTTCAGAATCTATACAATGAACACATACTACTTATATTATTAAAACCAATAAAACTATATTTCATTTTGAAGAAAAAAACAAAATAGAAATAAAATTCCCAATTTATTTGTGGGCTATAGCTTAGTGTGGTTAGAACAGTAACCAGGCATCAAAAGACCTGAATTCTAGTCCTGGTTTTGCCATTGAGTAGTTGTTTGACTCTGGGAAAGTCCCTTAACCTCTCTGTGCCTGAGTTTCTTCAACTGAAAAATAATCCTTATCTTGCCTTCGTTCCAGGATAATTGTGAAGATTAAATGTGAGAATGGATGAGATTGTTGTTGTCTGGTGCCCTTGAGCCAGTTCCGACTCACAGTGACCCTATGTACAACACAACGAAACACTGTCCGGTCCTGCGATAGTATTCTGAAAACTAAACATTGCATTAGTAATAGAGAGATTATTATTATGCTGTTTCTTAGACAAAATAAATAAATAAATTTAGAACTTACCAAAGCAGAAATTGACCAGGGACCAAATATTCCTCCTTCTCCAAACACTGGCTCAAAGAAGGGCACAGCCAACAGCAACATGGCGGACGACATAGGTGCCTGGTAGTACAGCAGCTGCATTGAGTTTACTTGCAATTCATGCTGTTTGGCTCCTACCCACTGAAAGTTAGGAGATAAAACAAGTTAGGCAGAAAAGAATTAACATCACTTAATAAAAGATGTAAACCTAGCCACAAAGATAGGAATGTGGGGTGGGGAATGGGGGAAAAGGAAATACCTAATTATTGTACAAACAGGACTTCGAAGATCAATAATATATACGAACGCCCTTTAAGCATCTTGGATGAAAGGAGCACTATAAATTCGATTTCTGATAACCTAATTTCTTCTCAGTTTTGAAGAAGGGGGTAAAAATCCCCTCTTCCCTCCTGGTCCTAGTAAATGGGGGAAAGTAAATGCATGTAAGAGCCCACAAGCATCAGAGATCTTGGGAAAATAAGGCAGGAATGGAAGGTTAGGTGATAAGTAAGAATACAGATGCAGCCCCAGATTTCATTTCTTTCTAAAAATGCATCCCTGCCCCCCCCAAAAAAGACTGGGGGGAGAAGCAGGTTAGAGATTGACAGGAACCTCAGTTATCCCAGGTGGCGGCCACTGCAAGTAGCTAGAAAGGTAGAGAGCTCTTTTGATTCACTTTACAAAATCCAATGAACAAAGAGGGAATTTTCCTCTCTACGGATGATTTTTCTGTGGCTAATATCCCCCGCACTTGCCCAATAAATTAGGTAATCACCAACCCTAAAATAGTGATATCATTCAGTAGAACCAACATGTCCAAATCTCAAATCCCACCAGACCTCAAAATGCTTCACAAACATGACTGAAGAGGCTTTATAAAGACAGCCTGATGAGGCTGTGTGAATAAGATCTGGCAAGAACAGCGAGGCTTGTGAATAACATCGCCTACATGGCTTTTTCCTGTAGGTCTGGGTATCCTGTTACATAGAATCTAAGTCTACAGAAATTCACCAAGACAAAAATAGAAAAGCAGGAAACCTGAAACATACTCCTGCCAGCCTTCAACCAAGAGTCTTAGGTGAATGGGAAAGGTCAGAGAACTCATTCTTCAGCTGCCCGCTCCTTGGGCACAGGAGTGGGCAAAAACAGATGCTGAGAGTGTGTGTGCATCCCACCTTTCCTTTAACAGCCTCACCAGGAAGCTGCATGCCTCCCCCACAGAACTGTTAGGAACAGTGGTCCACACTCTGCAGTGCAGTGCAGCCTGGCTTCTGCCTACCATCCCTCCACTGAAACTGCTCTTCCAAAGGGCACCTCCTATTGCCCGATCCAAAGGACTCCTCAGCCCTCTTCCTACCAGCTGTCTCTGCAGCACCTGCAAATTTCTCTTGGAAGGACTTGACTTCTAGTTTGTACTACAACCTCATCTCCTACCTTAGGCCTCTTCCTTTATTTCCTATTTTTAAGGTGGACGCCTGGCCTTCTTTATCTCCTTGACTGGTCTCTTTCATTATCTGCTGACATCTTTGAAATCTATATCATCTATAGTTCTGACTTCCTTCTTTCAACATCCTTCACCTCACATCTTCAACAATTTACTGGCCACCTAAACTTAGATAATCTGCAGGAACTTATTTAAAATAAGCTCATGTTCCTTCTACAAACTAGTTCCTCTTGTGTCTCTTCACTTAATGATATAATCTCCCCCAAGGACTAGACCCCTTGTTTTCCTCACTCTCATATTCAGTCAGGTCCTACTAATTCTTTCTCCAAACGGTCTCTGGGATATGTCTTCATCCTTCCGTGTCCACCTCCACTGTCCTAGGTGAGGCCTTCCTATCTTTCCCTTGATCCAGGACAGCTTCCTAACTGCTCTGCTGACACTCTTTTCTTCTCTCTCTTATCCACACTTCAGTGCCACCACTTTTCTAAAACACAGGGAATGATCAAGTCATTCCCTTACCTAAACTCCTTCCCCTGTGCCTTCAGAAGGAAGAGTGCACTTCCGCAGCATGACATTTAAGATTCTTCACCATCTGGTCTCACTGACCCCCAGCTTTTTCTCCCCACAATGCATCTATATTCTAGCCTCACCAAACAAATCAAAAATGCTCTGAACTTTCACATATCATTGCAAAGAAAGACTTCTGCTGTATTCCTCTGCCAAGCAAATTCCTGTGCATCCTCCAAATTAAATTATCACCTTTTCCATAAAGTCTTACCTTACCATCCCTCTTGTAGAATTGCCAGTGTTCCTCAGAACTTTCTTCATTAGCTAAGGTATACTACTTGTGATTCATGATCTACATGTATCTCTACAATGCTGGACTGTAGCTGCTTTTCATCTCTGTATTATCAAAGCTGAGCATAAGACTTAGCACAAAAAATGTCTGATGAATGAATGAGTCAGCTGTCTCTCTACAACTACAGTTAATAGCTGATGACTCATCTTTTAACTCTTTTTAATGTCCCCAATAATACAAGAAAAAATACCTTAGAAATTATACCTGAGAACAATAGGAAAATACAACTTTCTTTAAACGAAAATTTTCAGGCAATATGCCTATTCTGTACCAGGACTTTACCATTTACTGCTAATAGAAAACTTTGCCCATTAATTTAGTCTACACTCATTTATTGGTCAATCTCATTTCAAATATTCAACTGAGGGGTATACCAAAAACCAAAACCAAAGCCATTGCTGTCGAGTCAATTCTAACTAATAGCATCCACTTAGGACAGAGTAGAACTGCCCCATAGGGTTTCCAAGGAGTAACCGGTGGAGTTGAACTGTCAACCTTTTGGTTAGCTGCCAAACACTTAACCGCCTGAGGCATACAGAATCCTTTAATTCTAATCTACAGCAATTTTGAGATTTGTGTGAATAGAAATGGTCATATTGATATGGACAGCAAGCCTCTGGTGGCACAGTGGTTAAATCGCTCAGCTACCAACCAAAAGGTTGGTGGTTCGACTCCACTAGCTGCTCCGAGGGAGAAAGATGTAGCAGTCTGCTTCTGTAGAGATTTACAGCCTAGGAAACCCTACGGGGCAGTTCTACTCTGTTTTATAGGGTCGCTATGTATCAGAATCGACTTGACGGCAATGGGTTTGGTTTTTTGGTATAAGGAGCACAAAGGATTCTGCTCTTTAACAAATGAAATTTCTTGCTATATTTAAAAAATATTTAGTACATACTAACCCAAATTTTAAAAAAGCATTTGACAAAAAGAAAGGAAAGTTAACTAATATTTACAGTGTCTTGTAACAAAATTTAAACCCACTGAAGTGTACTTTATGGACTGAATTGTGTCTCCCAAAAATATGTTGTAAATCCTAACTCCTATACCTGTGGTGAGGAGTCCTGGTGATGTAGTGGTTAAGCTCTTGGCTGCTAACCAAAACGTCAGCAGTCGAACCCCCCAGCTGTCTCGCCAGAGAAAGATGTGGCAGTCTGCTTCCATAAAGATTAAAAAATAAAAAAACAAACCTATTGCCGTCGAGTCAACTTCGACTCACAGTGATCCTGTAGAGCAGAGTAGAACTGCCCCATTGGATGTCCAAGGCTGTAATCTCTACAGAAGCAGACTGCCACATCTTTCTCCCGCAGAGCTGCTGGTGAGTTTGAACCACTAACCTTTTGGTTAGCAGCTGAGAGCTTAACCACTGTGCCACCAGGACTCCTTCCATAAAGATTACAGCCTTGGAAATCTTATGCAGCAGTTCTACTCTGTCCTGTAGGGTCACTACGAGTCGGAATCGACTGGATGGCAACGGGTTTTTTTGGTATACCTGTGGTTAGAATCTCATTTGGGAATACGGGTTTCTTTGTTATGTTATTGAGGCAGTATTAGTATAGGGAATGTCTTAAATCAATCTTTTTTGGGATATAAAAGAGCAGATTAAGCAAGCAGCAAAAAAGCAGAGATGGCGAAGACAGATGTCACATCACATGAAGATCAACAAGGAAGGGAGAAACAGAAGCTGAGATGAGACAAGGACTTTCCCCCAGAGCCCACAGATAAAGAAAGCCTTCCCTTAGAGCCTGTGCCCTGAATTTGGACTTCTAGCCTCCTACACTGTGAGAAAATAAATTTGTTTGTTAAAGCTACCCACTTGTGGTATTTGTTATAGCAGCAGTAGATAACTAAGACAGTAGCCAAATACAATTTTTCTTATTACAAAGCTGAGCATCCTCTGATCACTCTTTGGAGAAAAAGAATATCATGGAGCCAAGTGACAGCACTGAGTGGACGCTCCATCCTTTCATGCTGTTGATCTCTTATTTTATTTAAACTGGTTCTATGCCACTAAAAAAATGCATTCAACTCAGTATTTTTTGTAACAATGTTTTTAGATGATCAATACCAGAAGTTTAAGATGCCAGTATTATTGAACTCCTAACATTCGTAACAAGAATGCCTTAGTTTATAACCCGTGGATGTTTGTCAAAAAAGTAAAATTGGTTAAAATATTATACGTTTTGGTTGAGATTCCCCATGCAGGCACACCCCGGAATTTCCAGTCCAAGGTTTTCAGTACAGAGAGAATACTGTTTCACTGAACCCTATACCAAGATATTTTTTCCTTACTATGTAAGAAATGGAAACCCTGGTGGTGTAGTGGTTAAGTGCTACTGCTGCTAACCAAAAGGTCAGCAGTTTGAATCCACCAGGTGCTCCCTAGAAACTCTATGGGGCAGTTCTACCCTGTCCTGTAGGGTCTCTATGAGTTGGAATCGACTCCACAGCAGCGGGTTTGGTTTTTGATTTTATGTAAGAAATAAAATACATACTTGTTGGGAGTTCATGATAATGAGAAAAGTGAATCCATGAACATATTTTTAATGAATACTTGCCATAGACAAAGAACAGGCACTGAACTTGAATAAGAAGTAACATACCCATTGCTGGAAAGCACTCTGTTTTTATAGGCAAATTATTAGAAGCCAATATACAAGTTGTAGCAGCAGCATTTTTTTTTTTTTTGAGGTAAAGATATTTAAATCTGAAATTTTCCTTCCTTGTTCAAATTTTTGAACGCATACTCTTTCAGAGTCATGTTTTAATTAAAGGGTAAATGATAAATATAACCAACAAACTTAGTTCTCAAATAAAAAATCTTACTCATTTTGTAAAGGTTTCCCAGAAAATAATATCGCTTCACCCCCAACCCAGACTGTTAAGCCTGGGTATTAATACACTTACAAACAGGTAGGTTTTGGTGAACATCATACACCCAAGTTTTTCTGTCTCCTCTCTTCTCTTCACCTTGAGTCAGACAATTTATGCAATTATACTTTCTTCCCAACAGCCTATTGTCTCTATACTGTATTTTCTAAACCTTGGGATACAGCTTCAAAACTTACGAAATCTGCTAAAAAGCACATAAAGAAAAAAAAATTACCAACCACTTGATAAAGCGATGTAACTAAAACACCAAGAGCAGCAAACACCATTCCAAGGAAATTAAACTTCACATCGTAATAAGAATTTAGGATTACACCTGAAGTTATAGGAATCTGTAAAAAAAGAGAGGTAAATATTGTTCAGATTAAATTCAAGAGACACATTTCGTATTTCTTTCACAGTGCTTTATAAGGTTTTTATAAACACACCCTTCGGAAACAATGACCCTCTAAAAATTTTTGTTTGTTTTTTTGGAAAAACTGGTTGTTAATCCTATTTCCTCAAAGGAAATATGATAATGTTATACTGATGTTCACATTTAATTCTACTTTAAATTTGGGGTAAAATAATGAATTGATGCATTGCACTTTGCAATAAATGAATATCACGTGCGTGCACATGTAAGTTAAACCCTGGTGGCTCGCAGTGGTTAAGAGCTATGGCTGCAAACCAAAAGGTCGGCAGTTCGAATCCACCAGGTGCTCCTTGGAAACTCTATGGGGCAGTTCAACTCTGTTCTATAGGGTCGCTATGAGTCGGAACTGACTCCACGGCAACGGGTTTGGCTTGGCACATGTAAGTACAGGAATCCTAAAACTAATGTCTAAACAACATTATAAAAACAGATAAGCATATAACTACAAAAGCAAACAAAATATTTGAAGTATTGTAATTTAGTAAGTGCTAGAATTATTTTAGCCCATCTCCTTTTTTTTAAAGATGCAGAAACCTCTGCAATATGTTACTAGACATATTCTGAGATTTACATTTTATGCTAAACTATTTAACATTTATCATACATCGTTTGGTTCCCTGGAGAAGGGAAACTGTTTTCAGTTTTGCAAATCTTCTGATACAGTGTATTGCATCACTCAGTACAGTTTTCTTACTGACCACAGCAATAAAGATTTCTATCAAACAGTAGTTATTAAAATCACATAAACCAAGCTAAGAGCCCAACAGAGTGCCAAGATGGATTTTTTCCACCTCCCCAAAATAAGCACGAAGTTCACATGCTCACAGATGACTCATCTGAGGATTTCTTGAGAAGGGAAAGAGGTTAAACAATGCAGATTCAAATTTCCCGGGAAGAAAGATCCTAGGAGATGGGCCGTTAGAAGTGGGCATCGCGAAGTTGAAGCTACTCACCAACGTAAGCTGTATTCTGGTGGAGAAGGTTTTCTTGTACCAGAGGGTCTGGATGGCTATGATCACCGGCGTGGTCATGGCCTTGGCCAGCTGATAGGTGCCTATAGTGTTGTTCTGCAAAGAGAGGTTGGTGAAGACCACGAAGCCACAGAAGCTGAGGGCCAGGAGGAGGAGCTTGGAGGGTGGCAGACTCTTGGGGGCAAAGATGTTCAGCTTCTGGCAGATATACAAGCCCAGCCAAGTGACCACGAAGTGCACCAGGGTCAGGCTCATGTTGGGGAATCCGTGGTGCACATAGATCCATTTGTTGAGGAACACGATGCAGATGGACACCAGCAGATTGAGCAGGAGCCCGGCGACGATGCGCCCGTTGCCCCGCACTCGGTCGACCAGCGATGCCATGATTCCCGCCTGCGGCCGAGCTGCGACCCCCACGAAGCCAGGTCTCTCCAGCCTCCGAGGGCGGCGCCCGGTCTGTCTCCGGCTGCCCTTCCCCTCCTTCGCCGCCACTGCCTCCTAGCAGCCGCCGGCCTCACTTCTCGGCCGGGCAGAGGCATGCAACCGTTGGGTCCCGAGCGAGCAGCCTCATCAGCAGCACACACAAGCTTTGCTACCGCCCATTGAGCTGGGACGCGGCAGTAAGTTCCACTCACCCCGCCACGCCTCCGTCCTTGGTCACGTGACTCGGGGAGCCAGTGCTTCCGCCCCGGAGCAGTCCGTGGAGCGACTTCGCCCTTGCGCAGGCGCATTGCGCTCTGGGCGCGGAACACTGTGGTCGTGGGGCCTAGCCAAACGTCTAGTCTAACCCGGACTTTGGCTGGGCTGTTCTTGAACCACCTTCTTGGTATTTTACGTTCCCTTCGTGTCAGTTCGGAGCCCTGGTGGCGCAGTGGTTAAGAGGTCGGTTGTTAACCAAACGGTGGGCAGTTCGAATCCACTTGCCGCTCCTTGGAAACCCTACGGGGCAGTTCTACCATGTCCTGCAGCGTCAATAGGAGTCGGAATCGATTCCACAGTAACGGGTTTGTTTGTTTTGGTTTTGCCCCTTCCAGGGAGGTACCGTAACCCTTTACTGGGAACCCGGGAGAGGGAGCCCTGTCTTCTTGGCCATATCCAGCCAGAGTGGAATGGGAGTTTCCATTTCGCTGAAGTAGGGGGCAGTTGGGAGGGAGCAGGTTGTAGTCCAAGTGCCACAAACTCTCACTGTTCTTACCGAGATTTAGTAGATTTTCTTGAATAAATGTTTCTTCATTTGATGTATGCCATTGTGACAATTTTCAGAGACTTTAAATGATTGTTTCTTTGTATAATTTTCACCAGGTATTGTTTCTTGGGGTGTGGGAGGGTAGGTCCACAGAGCTCCTCACAAGCTATTGAGAGTACTTCAGACAGGCAGTTCCCAGTTGCGAGATCAGTTTTTAAGTGCGTCTTTAAGTCAGATTTGTAGGTTAAGTTGAAATAGGTGTATACCGTTCTTATGTAGTGCGGGAAAGGAGCCCTGGTGGTACAGTGGTTAAGGGCTTGGCTGCTAACCGAAAGGTCAATGGTTAGGTTCCAACCCACCAGCTGTTCTGCGGGAGAAAGATGTGGCATTCTGCTTTGTAAAGATTTACAGCCTTGGAAACCCTATGGGGCAGTTCTACTCTTTCAGGGTCACTATAAGTTGGAATCGTAGCAGTGGGTTTGAGTGCAAGAAAAGGCTTAGAGCCTTTTCAGTGATTTAAAACCTGCAGATGCAGCAAGTGAAGGTGATTGTGATGAAGACTTTGTTGTGAGTAAGGCTTGGTTCAGTTGTTTCAAAGTGGGGGCACATTTGCATAACATTAAAAGGCAAGTAAGTACCAGTCAAGAGATCAAACTACGCGTTGCATTGCGCAAATCTGCTGCAAAAGACCTCTTTAAAGTGTTCAAAAGCAAAGATGTGACTTTAAGGACTAAGGCACACCTGACCCAAGCCATGGTGTTTCCAGTCGCCTCATATGTATGGGAAAGCTGGACAATAAATAAGGAAGACCGAAGGATTGACGCCTTTAAGTTATCGTGTTGGCAAAGAATATTGAATACCATGGTCTGCCAAAAGAACGAACAAATCTGTCTCAGAAGAAGTACAACCAGAATTCTCCTTAGAAGCAAGGATGGTGAGACTTCGTCTCACATACTTTGGACATGTTATCAGGAGGGACCAGTCCCTGGAGAAAGATGTCATGCTTGGTAAAGTAGAGGGTCAACGAATAAAAAGGAAGACCCTCAACGAGATGCACTGACACAGTGGCTGTGGCAGTGGGCTCAAGCACAACAATGATCATGAGGGTGGCGCAGGACGGGGCAGTGTTTCCTTCTGTTGTACATGGGGTTGCTATGAGTCAGAACCGACTCAATAGCACTTAACAACAACAACAAAGTACAAGTTGTCCATAAGTAGGATGTCAGCCGTTAGTAACCTGGGGACTTACTGTATAATGTAGATGCTAGTTCTTTGTCAAATATGTGGTTTGCATATATTTTCTCCCAGTCTGTAGCTGGTCTTTCATAGAGCAAAAGTTTTTAATTTTGATGAAGTCCAGCTTATCAGTGTTTGCTTTTATGGGTTCTACTTTGCTGTCAAATATGAGAACTTTGCCTAGCCCTAGATCCTGACGAGTTTCTGCTATATCTTTTTCTAAAGTTTTATAGTTTTACATGTAAGTCCATGAACCATTCTGAGCTAATTTTTTGTATAAACTGTGAGACTTACGTCGATTTATTTTTTTGCGAATGGATGTCCTATTGCTCCAGCACCATTTGTTGAAAAGGCTATCTTTTCTTCATTGAATTGCTTTTTAACATTTGTGAAAACGTTGAGTCTGTTTCTGGGTTCTCTCTAATGTTTCATTGATCTGTCTATCCCTCCACCAACCGTCTTGATTGCTGTAGTTATATAGGTTTTAAAATCAGGTAGACTAATTCTTCTCATTTTTATTCAAAATTGTTTGTTATTCTAGTTCCCTTTGCCTTTCTATATAAATTCTAGAGTAACATATATAATACATACACATTTATGCTTATATGTATTAAAAATCTTGCTGGGATTTTGATAGAAATGGCGTTAAACTAGTACATCCATTTGGAGAGAACGACATCTTTCCTATGTCAAGTCTTCCAGTCAGAGATGCGGTATGTCTCTCCATTTATTTAGATCTTCTTGGTTTCTTTCATCATTTTCTAATTTGCATCTAAGTATTTTTTCAGTGCTTGTAAATGTATTTTTAATCTTGGTGTTGATTGCTGGTATATAGAAGTATAACTGGTTATTTTGGAACCTTGCTGAACTCACTTATTCTCAGGAGTTTTTTTTGGTAGATTCCATGGGATTTTTGAGGTAGGCAATCATGTCATCTGCAAATAGGAACAATTTTATTTTTTCCTTTCCAGTCTGTAAACCTGCTGTCATTGAGTTGATTCCAACTCATAGCAACCCTATAGGACAGAGTAGAACTACCACATAGGGTTTCCAAGGAGCAACTGGTGGATTTGAACTGCCTGCCTTTTGGTTAGCAGCTGAATGCTTAACCACTGTACCACCAGGGCTCCTTCCAATCTATATTCCTTTTCTTGACTTATTATACTGGCTAGGACTTCCAACACTATGTTGAATACGGGTGGTAAGGGCACAAAACCTTTCCTGGAAAGTATTGTTAAATATAGTTTAAGATTTTTAAAAAAATAACAAAAAGTAATACATGCTCATTGTAAAACATTCAAAAAGTACGAAAGAAAAAGTTCCCAACCTCCAAGGTAACCACTGATAAGTTTCATGTTTCTTTCTAGACCTCTCCCCCAATCACACCGCCACACAAAATCTACATACACAATATATGAATGTATATATGCATGCGTGTGTGTATGTATCTTACAGAGGCACGTCTTACAGCCATGTATAGTTTTTCACCTGTTTTTTTTCATTCATTCATACATTCTGGCCAACTTTTGTGTCAGCCCGTACTGCTCTACCCCATTCTTTTTAATGGGTGCATAGTAAAGTATAAAATTAAAGAGGTTATTGATAAGTAAATATTTCATCTTTGAATCACTTTAGCTAGTAAAATAAGAGTTGAGGCAGAGTCCATTGCTTCTATACTCCTCCTAGCTGACGTTAGGAGGGTACTGCTGTTATCAACTGTTGCTTCCTGCTTTGGGTGCAGGTGTGTTAATATCCACCTCTGACTTAAACCACAATGTCCCAAACTTAGCTAACTAGAACCACCTATGGCATATTATATAATATTCTAAAATACAATTCTATGACCCCCATCTCAGGCTTTCTGAGCTGGGAATCTCTAGTAGTGTGTATAAATATATATTTAACAAATTCCTAAAGTTATTCAGATGATTAGCCAGTTTTGGAGTTACAAATCTAGACCATGTTTTCTATTAGTCACATTCTAGTTATCTTCCACTTCTAAGCCCTACAGTTCTAGGCCATTTGGAGTATTTGCTAATTCATAAACATGCTTAGCTAATAATACTCATTTCTAGGCCTTGCTCATACTGATTTCCTTATTTGTAGGGCCTCACCCTTTTTGCCCTTTATTTTTGCCTCTGTAAATTCAGATCATTCCTCAAACTCTGGCCCAATTGCTACTTCCTCTGAGACCTTTTGGCTGGAAATAGTTTCCTCCTATTCAGACTTACTTGTATTTTTTAATGGTACCTTTTAATATACTTATTGTATTTCCCCCACTAGAAGAGCTGGATTAGATCTTACCGATTTTGTATTCTGCAATTTATTCAGTGCTGACTGTGTGACAGACACTATGCTAAGTCTTTATATGCCCAACTCATTTTAATAGCAGGTTTGCAGAATCAGAGTTAATAAACTAGAAATGTCTTCAAAATAAAGGAAATAATAGTTTAATATTATTTTTAAAAACACTATAATATTCATTTTAAGTGTAATTTTTAAAAAATACTAAATTTTATGAAAAATGAAAAATTGTGTGGTTGGGTTGGAAATGAACTTACTTTCCATCCTCATTATAATTTTAAGATATCAGACTATTTATGATTACAGGAAAAAATTAGGAAAATAGGAAATTTCGTTTCCTTATTACATAATAAAGAGCCAATCCTGGAATTTGTAAGAACAGAAATTTTTAATTTTTACATAATTTCATTAATAAACACAGGGAAATAATGACATAATACATTAAAATTTCAAAGTGTTACCATAATATTCTAAAAAGTAAAAAATTCAAATCTCAAATTTTACAAACATTTCCCCCCATGATAATGCAAAAGGAAAAAAAAAACAGTAATTACAAATATGTATATTTTACAAATAACTCCAATCATCATGGAAATTAGTGGTATTACATAAAATAGATAAATTAGGATTGAATTTCATATCCTAATGGGTCAAGTCCCTGGTCTAGGAGCATTAGAGAGGATTCCCTTAACTTCTGTAGCAATTTCCTTAGTTCTTCCTTAGAAAATACCTGATGGAAAAAAAAAAAAGTAAGAATGAGAACAAAGAAAACCATGAGCTTATAGTCACCTAATCAATCTGATTAAATTCCTTTTTAAGATTTATGTTGTCAGGGGCTAGTAAATTAAAGTGGTTCAGGAACTTCAAAGTTAT